ACTCATCCAAGAGGTCACAAAAAACCCCACAACAACACCCAAAGAACTGCAGGCTTCACTTGCCTCAGTTAAAGTCAGTGTCCATGACTCCACCTTAAGAAAGAGACTGGGCAAAAATGGCGTGCATGGCAGAGTTCCAAGACGAAAACCACTGCTGAGCAAAAAGAACATAAAGGCTCGTCTCAGTTTTGCCAGAAAACATCTTGATGATCCCCAAGACTTTTGGGAAAATACTCTGTGGACTGACGAGACAAAAGTTGAACTTTTTGGAAGGTTTGTGTCCCATTACATCTGGCGTAACACAGCATTTCAGAAAAGGAACATCATACCAACAGTAAAATATGGTGGTGGTAGTGTGATGGTCTGGGGCTGTTTTACTGCTTCAGGACCTGGAAGACTTGCTATGGTAAATGGAACCATGAATTCTGCTGTCTACCAAAAAATCCTGAAGGAGAATGTCTGGCCATCTGTTCGTGACCTCAAGCTAAAGTGCACTTGGGTTCTGCAGCAGGACAATGATCCAAAACACACCAGCAAGTCCACCTCAATGGCTTAAGAAAAACAAAATTAAGACTTTGGAGTGGCCTAGTCAAAGTCCTGACCTGAATCCGATTGAGATGTTGTGGCATGACCTTAAAAAAGCGGTTAAGGCTTGAAAACCCTCGAATGTGGCTGAATTACAACAATTCTGCAAAGATGAGTGGCCAAAATTCCTCCACAGCGCTGTAAAAGACTCATTGCCAGTTATCGCAAACGCTTGATTGCAGTTGCTGCTAAGGGTGGCCCAACCAGTTATTAGGTTTAGGGGGCAATCACTTTTTCACACAGGGCAAGGGTTTGGATTTTTTTTTCCCTTATTAATAAAAACCTTCATTTAAAAACCGCATTTTGTGTTTACTTGTGTTATCCTTGTCTAATATTTCAATTTGTTTGATGATCTGAGACATTTCAGCGTGACATGGTGCAGCACCCTGGGTCTTGTAATCATGATTGGACAAGAGCCCAGTCTCATCTCCGTTGAATAAAACCATTGCATTGCATTGCATACATTAGACAGTTCTGAACATGTGAAAACACTGCGTCACTGCTCTACACAGAAAGAGGTAAAAATGAGGTGTGGCTTACTTTTCATTTTTTTAACAACAATTTAAACATCTTTTAAAAATCCAAATTGCTAGGCTCTTAAAAAGCAATCGATGTGTTTCAGGCAGCATTCGCAGGAAGGGGTAGTTTGTGTTAGCATGGCGTGGCGACGGCGCGGGTGTACATGGGGGCGGAAATGGAATTAGAATGTCCAACCATCATGTTATTTCTGTGATTTGTCACTTGGACTTGGGTGAAGGAGTTAGTCATCCTCCTGAGGCCGCAGCAGGGAAATGGAATGTGAGGTGCAGCCTTCTTATGGCCACACCCCTGCAGTGGAATTCAGGGCAGCAGAGGACCGCAGGTTTGAAGAAGAGCACTGAGGCCAGCAGGAGGTGTGGTCTGTCTGACAACCGAGGACAGCACAACAGTGAAAGACGTATATCCAGCGCATTTTATCTGGACCATTCGTATAGAAATTTAGAAAACTAGTAAAAGTTTGTCTTATTATACAGTGTGCAATATGATAATATAAACAGGTGCAGAAGTAAATTGGAAAATGTGAAAATCCTACAGATGGAAATCATTGCTTTAGCCCACGGTGCCTGGTGTATTCCCTCCTCTCTTGCTGCATCTTCCTCTGTCTGGGAGCTTATTCCAGACAGGGGGGCTGCGCCGGGCCGTTCAGGTCACTCCATTCAGCTGCTTTTTAATACTTTTCAATAAAACGAGCTTTAAGAGCTTGGTGTTGTGTCGATGCTGCTGGTTTTAATACAGCAAGCTCTACAAGGCGAAGGACCCGACCTGACCGTGGGACTTACAATTTTCAATCCTGAGCTGAACGGTGTTTTTTTTCCAGATGGAGAGAGGATAGGTGCTGGTATCAGGCTAGCTGTTGTACCAGTGCAGTAAAGTGACCAAACCCCACTGCAAGGCGATAGGGTACACGGCACCCAGCCTTTCCACCCTGGAATAGCGGCCAGACCATTCTTCCCTTTTTTTATAATATACAGTATATTACAACTGTATAGTATATTATAACTGCTACAAGCCACCCCCATGCCTGCAAGTCCCTGAAGATGGTAACTGACATTAAGAGATTTGTGGAAATGAAGCAGTACTGCTTGCTTGTCAGCAAAAATGGTGTTTATTGGAATAATGAAAATTGCCACAGGCCAGGATTTTAAAGTTTTTTTTTTTTACATTGGCTTACAGTAGCTATGTTTTAGGATTGAAATTGTACTTGCAATATGTGTGCTTGAAAAATCACACAATGATAATTATACCTATACGACAGCAGGGACCAACAGAAGACATCACAGCTATTAAATTTCATTAAAGACTCTCATGCCTACATAAAATCTCTAATCAGGGATGAAATAATTCATGGTCTCTTTACACAAAGCCCATTTTTTCCCCCAATTAGAGACAGTTAAGCCACTCATTGGTAAGGTATGTACACGGTCCCCTCCAAGCCTAAACCCCTTCTGTATTTTGCAAAATGCACTTGGCCTACCATCAGGTCTGAAGCAAGGTCTCGTCAGGTCATGAGGCTCTGCTGTAGATGCCTGCGATTGTTCCATTTGTTCTGTAGTCCGTGTGTATTCACAGAGCCCAGCTCTGGCCCAGTGAGTCCCACCGTCGACCCACTCCTGGGTCACTGAAACCACTGAGCTGGTGTTGTGGGACTGTTCAGGATGCACACGTGTGCCAAGACCAGTACTTGAAGAAAATAGCCTCACCTACCCCCAGCCTAGTGCTGGGGTATAGCAGCTACTGACTTCCTCCTGTGTCTTGCCACAAGCCAGGATGTCACAAAGCTGGTCGACTGCTGTAAGGCACAGCAGTGTAAAGAGATTATTCCATTCTTCTGTTAAAGTGCTCTATGCATATGTAAGTTCCTTGCCTTATCTGAGGTATATAGTGGAAAACTCACTTGTCCTCTCCCTCATTGAAATCTAGAGTAAACCTTCATTGCTTTACTGTGACCAAATTACACTGTTGATTATGTTCAAAGAGCATGCATTTAAAATGCACTTAAAGTGATAAAAGGTGACTGTTGGAAAACACTCGCTTGTTGGCCTCAGTTCACCAGTCCAGCTCTGCACCACAGGGCTCAGGAAAGAGAGTATCTCTTTCTTATCATTACATTAGCGGTCAGTGGTCACCCAGCATGACCAGCGGCCATGTGAGGAGACACTCCTGCAGCTCCGCACACGCCCTCAGGAGGGACTGGGAGCACAGCTCAAACAGAAAACCCACTGGTTATACCCTGCCTACCACACCTCAGGAAAAGTGTCATTAAGAATGTCTATAACTAAAATACAGCATTGGAAGGGCCTCCATAGCCCTGCTGTCCTCTTGTGGTTGTGGCCCTGTAGGAATTGGGAAAGGGGATGGAGTGGTTGAATTCCCTTATTCGGCCCTGTCTTCTGAAAACAGGAATCTGATGAGGTGTAAACGTTTCTGGGAGACTGCTTTCTCAGAACTGGGAGAGAGAGAGAGTCATTCCTGTTTGCTGGGCACGGGCTCTAGTGACTGTCTAACGGGATGGAATGCAGGATGAGGATTTTGCCAAATTTGGGAAAAAAATAATGCTTTTCTCCCGATAACTCCAAAAGAAAACATTTGCAAATATTTTAGTCTCTCTCTTTCTTAACCTCACTCTCGCTCTGTTCTCTCCCAGCTGTGTGTGCGCTAATTACCTTTCCCTTCTCCAGGCCTGTTCTTTTCTGATGTGCTGTCTGAAAATGCTTGCATGTCAGAACAGTTGCACACTTAATTGTAGTTTCTCGTCCTGCTGTTGTATAGTGCGGTAAAGCACTGTCTTGTAGCTCTATAGGGGAATGCTGATTTTCAGTTGTGAAGTGATTGTGTACCGGTACCAGGGTAACCATTTGTGATGCTGGATGATAATTTAGGCACTGTACCAATGCTGCTCTTTAGTGCGTCTTGTCCACATCCAGCTGAGGGCAGGCACAACCCCTGAGACCTAGACTAAGGCAACGAGTAAAGGAAAAACAGAGCAAGTGTGGTCACTGCATGATCCCACAGAGAGGGGCAGTTCTGTGGTGACATTTGGTGAAAACCTCGAACGTCAAGCGATCGTGGAGTGGCTTATAGAAGTGTGTTAAACACCAGCAGCAGCAACTGATAGGTGCACAGCAGAACTCCAACCAAGAGCCCTGCAGAACTGCCACAATGTTATGTGACTGATTAATACCTGCAAGAGCTCCACACAACAATTCAGGCAACATGCAGATACTGTATATACTGTACAGGTACAGAAAGAAATGAGTGAATTTGAAAATTCCACAGATGGAAGTGCTCATTTTGACCCGCAGTGCCTGGTGTATTCCTTCCTCTTTTCCTGCACCTCCTGGCGTCTAGTAGCTTATTCCTGACAGAGGGGCTTTGCAGGGCCTAACTCCATTTGGCTGCTGCGAGCTCTCCCGTGCCTCTTGCCTGTCATTTACAAGTGCTGATGCAGGTGCTCCTGTTTCCACAGCCAGTGTATCCATCAGATCCTGGAGAGTGTCAATCACATCCACCAGCATGACATCGTGCACAGGGACCTCAAGGTGAGTACCCATCGCCACGGCAACCTCACAGATTAAGACTGCATCACCCATCGCCATGGCAACGCGTTGCGTCACATTTCCAGCAGCCTTCACAGGGGACTGATTGCTTTCTGATAGAAGGCAATAAAGTGTGTCTGTTGCTTTGGGTGCTAAAGGCTCTTTCCCCAGAGTAATCGTGCCTGCGCATTGGTATTTGCTGTTTGGCTAGTCAGTCTTCAGTCTCGATCTCATCCATTTGTACTTCCTGGGTTTCTCTTGTAATCTGGAGGTCATACTGATTAAACCCCTGTCCTCACTGCCTCCCTCCCCCGGCCAGTCGCCAGTGCAAGCAACAGGAGTAGACTTGCATTGCACAGCAGGATTCAGGCCTTTCAGGTTTTACAAACTACAACTCAGTATCGGTAAGCCTTGCTGCAGGACATTTCATTCCTTTGCACATATTCTGCTTATATTGACATTGAAGGAATTGAGGTTTGTACCTCAGCTGAGCAAATTGAGGGATCTGCTGTTTCTGCTCCTTCGGCATCAGTGCGGAGTGACATTACATGGCTCAGACACTGCATGGCGCGGAGCGTGGTGGCCCTGCCCGAGTCGACATGCTTCCTGCGTCAGTGCGGGACGTGAGCTGAAGGTAAAGAGGGAGAGATGTAGCAGGAGGTTGCCATGGCGATGCGTGACATCACAGCTGCGCCAGCCCCAGACCTCGGGGGGACTCATTATGTCACCTCCAATTCATCATGACGGCGACGTGGCTCCTCACTCCCAGAGAGGGCTTAACAGAATCGTCACGTGTCCGCTGTGCAGCACACCCCCAAGGTCACCCCAGTGCAGTGGGTACATAGAAGAAACATTAGATACCACTCTCCCACTGTGGTGTTTCTTACTTTCTTCCTCTGTCTTCCATTTCTCTCGTTCTCTGTCTCTTGCCTTTCCTCAGGGTGAAAGGGGCCCTGTCTCTCTGGAAATGAAATCCAGATTCACTGTTGTGCTGCTGTTTGTTTCCTTTCAGGTGTTTGTGAGCTGCAGAGCCCGGGGTAAATTTTAGATTGGGAGTTGCGGAAGCAAACGTGTGAAAAATGAAAGTGACCTCTACTCTCCTGGTGAGCTGGATGGCTTCAGGAACCCAGCTCTTGATCTTGGCTTCCTGCAGTGGGAGAATTTGTCGTTGTCCCTGTTGAATTTAGGGTTAAGACCTCTGCTTGATCAGTTGCTTGAGTTAGTGCATTCTGAAAATATAGTTGAAAAGCTTAGGAAAAAAGGCCTTTTTAATGTCTGAACTGACTAGCTGAATGTTTTTCAAGTACAACGTTTGAGTGCTTTATTTTACCTGGTAAGGCATTTGAGAATGAATTCTCATTTATGATGTTAGCTGGAGACCCATGCATAGAGTAGGGCTTTTACTTGAGCACTCTTAAATTAAAGCCCCTTGCTCAAGACAACAAACAACTGTGTCACCTGAGATTTGAACTCACAGCTCTCTGGCTCATAGTCCTGAGCACTAACCACCACTCTGTGGCTAACATTATCATGTGTTAGCCCCTCAAGTTTATACATGCTCCAGTGCTAGATGGTCTGTTAACATGTCTGAGTTGTATAGTTTGAGAAAGAAGAAAGTGAAAGAATACTGAACAATGCAATAGAGCAGAGCCTATGTACAACAGAAACTTGCTCCTGTTCTAGGATGAAACTGACCTCCGGTGGGGGAAAGAGGAGGATCACTTATACCACAGGACGGTTGGAAAAGTGCTCAATGTGGAGAAACCGGGTGCATAGGAGTTTCAGATTTCAGCACTTGATCGGCGCCCTCTTGTGTTTCTGAGTGAAACATCACTAGTCTAAAAACCAGACTGGACTGCAAGTGGGGCCTGGTGGCCTGTGTCCTTTCTCTAGTCAGGCTGTCCTCTGCGCAGTGCACAGGCGGTGCCACCAGACCGAATTAAACCTTGGTGTACTGCACAGCCGCCACACAGGCTACTCTTGAGCTGGGACGCGTTGGTATCCTCGCCGTGGGCCATGATGTGCTGGCACGCCAGGCCCTGTGAGGAGGCCAGCCGCACTGCGCAGCGTGTCCGTCCCGAGTCGCACTGTAGCTGTGAAGGGCAGGTGTGAACGAGAACAATTCTTGAACCCACTTCCTCCTCCAGCCCCTCGCGGCCAGTCTCCCCAGCCATCTGCACTGTGGAGGATGTGTGATCTTGCGCCGTGTGGCGTCTGTGCGCACTTTCGCTTTTGCTTCTCTCTCCCGCACTCGCAGAACGTGCCTCCTCTGTGCACTTCCTCGGTTCACACTTGAAACCTCAGACCGGACACTTGCTCCGAACATTGTGGTGCTTTTATAATAAATCCCTGGCTTTTGTATTTGCTAAAATGCCAGCTGTTTCTTGAAAAAAGCCAAGGGCAGCAGCTTTAAAAATAGGGCTGGGTAGCTTGTTCCACACTCCCACCACCCTTTGTGTAAAGACGTCATTTTTAAATGCATTTCCACATACATTTGCTCTTGTTAACTGGTTTGTATTTCAAATGCTGATTCTGAAAAAGCCTGCTGGGATGATTTTGGCACTGCTTTTGAGAATTCTGAATACCTGAATAAGATTCTGTGTTCAAGGCTAAGATGGTCCAGGACCTTAGGCCTGTCTACGGAGGAATCCTGATAAATTCACCACTGTGAGGATCCGAGAGTGACAGGCAGCTGTGTGATTGTGCATAAACTTGTCTTCTTCTCTTTCAGCCTGAGAACCTCCTCCTGGCCAGCAAGCTGAAGGGGGCAGCGGTGAAGCTGGCTGATTTTGGGCTGGCCATCGAGGTGCAGGGCGACCAGCAGGCATGGTTTGGTAAGCGCACATCCATCTTCAGCACCAGCGGCACTCTGTGTAAACCTACAGCCCCTACTTCAGTGTAGCAGTGCTCTGTCTCCAGCTGGTGCTGCTACAACGGTGCCTTTCTAGCAGGCCTCAGTGAGATCAGGAAATGCTTAGTGCTACACCTGGGGAGTCAAGGACAGAAATGGTTCATCAGGGTGCAGTGGTGCCCAGCCCTGGTACTGGAGGAACACTGTGCTTTCTGGCTGTTGCTTCATCTGAGCTCTTAATCACAGGCTCATTGATTTTAGTTTTCTATTTGAGGCATATTTGCAAACTGCTTTCAGCCTCTGAAGGACAAATGGCATCTGTAATGGGTATCAACCTTGTAACAACGTCTGAGTTTTAGAACTGCCTTGTTTCTGGTGTGCTGCCTGAAATGTAACCAACTGGACCTGCAAAAGGAATAACCACTCACTGTGGGGGTTTCTGCTACAGTGTCCTTCCTGCTTGTGCCTGTTTGCTAACAGTTGATCAACTAGCAATAGCTGTTCAGTCCAAAATGATGACTAGCAAGTTGGGGAGAGACTGAGTGAAATTCTGTGTGCTAAAGCTGATGGAAACACTACTCCTGAAATTGGGGATTTTTAACAGTTAAATAATAGTTTAAACAAGTGAGCAAGTGAAGCACTGGAGATCAGTCAGCACTGGAGATGCAGAGCGCGGATGGAGTGAAAACCAGCAGACTGCGGGATCCACCACCATATTGAAATTAAGATTCTTTAAAATACTGGAATGGCATACTTGCTCTTGTAGTATGTAAGTGTATATACAGATACAGGCAGTATAGTGGCGCAGTGGTTAGGATTGCTGCCTTGCAACTCTGGTGCCCTGGGTTTTATTCCTGGAGTGCAATCTGAGTGGAGTTTGTATGTTCCCCCCATATACATGTGGTTTCCTCCCATTGTCCAAAGACGGACAGGCAATTTAATTGGCTTCTGGGAAAACTGGCCCTGCCGTTAGTGTGTGTGTCTGTGGCCTACGATGGTCTCGAATCTCATCCAGGGTGTATCCTGCCTTGCACAATTTTTCAAGCTACTATTTGTACTCATAAATACCAAGCCATCATTTAACTCCTCACATATTTCTGTGAGAATGTGCTCAATAGAAGATTGCAGGCTTCGAAAATCTGGTAGTAGGATTAAATGCTCAGATCTGAAATGGATCTGCCCGTTTTTTACTATCAAGAGCTTTGTCACATTTCTTAGAAGTGACAGCAGAACGGTGGTAGGAGAATCTGTGGCTCATCTCTTTACTTGGCCTCAATAAACCTGCTCCTTACTAAACTTCTTAATTGGAAGTCTGCTTTTCACTCTGTTGTCATGATTGTCAGTCTGCCATATGCCACTTTAACTTGTACCACGGTGAAGTTTGAGAAGTAGGACCTAGAGTATTTCTTATCTAATGTTCTAGCTTGTATTTCAGCTCCAAGAAGTGCTAATTTTAATGCTACTTATTATACAATCATCCTTTTGTTGTATCTTCATCTGAATTAGTTAATACAGCTTAGGCATAAAGGCATGTACTGACACTTAACAACACATCTATTGTATTCAACAGTATCACAGATGATGTGCCATTAAATTAAAATGATTATTAAAACTCATGGGTCGACAGAATAGTTTTGCTTTGTTTGAAGGAATGAAAAATACTATAATCAGGAAATGAACAGCTGACATAAAAATTGGATAAAAGGAATAAATAAGATAAAAGTAGTTTGCAGTGAGCACATAAATATCACTTCCAGATCAGTGAAAGAAAGCGTCCAGTGTGTTGTCTGTCTCCGTGGTTTACCTGTTCTTCTTTCATGGAGTGACGTTGCTGTGTGAAAAACAGCCCACATGAAGAAACACTTCCTTCTGTACCCACGCATTTATCAAATTGCAACAAATCTTTTAGCCTTGAGGTGTTGAGTGGGAATAATTATCTTGCTCCATTCCAAAAATCATCCAAACACTTTTCACTGCAGTTTTCTTCTGCGTATCTGTCCTCTTCAGATCTACATTCATCACATCATCAAGTCTGAAATACTATCGATGCATACTTGTTTGGAGTAGAATATCCTGGCAGCCTTCAGAGATCAATGAACAGGTTGAATAGAACATGTTTTTGTTTTAATTTTTCTGGTTTTAAGTGTGCCGTCAGTTTTTCAGAAAAAACAGTGAAAGTTTTAACAGCAAGTCTGTACCTGCTGTCCCAGTGCCCTGTATTCAATGTTAGATCAACCAAGCTTTGACATTGAATGTTTTCAGCTCTTTAAATACCGCATTTTGGTCTATTTATTTTCTACAAATACTGGGATGTAGTGGATTCAGGAGACAGGTTTTTGTGTAGTTCATTCTAGAGTAAAACACATGTTGTATATAAAGTATTTTGCTGCTTGGACAGTGATTAATAGCCTCTTTCACAATTGCTATAAGCTTATCTGTTTTGGGGATATTATTGCCTCTATATTGCCCAGAGTGTCTGCTATAGGCATTAATTGTGAAATTTACAGAATTTGGCAAAACAAAGTCTCACATAATGTCATTGTATGCCTTGATCATGTAATTGGCACTGTCTGAGACAAATCCAGTCATGTTTATCAAATCCACTTCAACGCATTTAAGCATTTCACCACGGAGTAATTCAGAATGCAGATTAACACTGTCTGCTAGAATAGTTGGCAGTTCACTGGTACTTGACTATTCCTGGTAGAGCCAATGAAATGTACATTACATAGTGATCTTTCTCACCTGTAGAGTCGTTACTGTGTAGGTGATTTGATGAGTTCTTAAATTTTGTTATTGCGCAGAGCAACAGGCTCTAGTAAACCCAACCACTGTTATGGCAAGTTGCTGTCACTGGTAAATCCTGCTGTTGACCTCACGTTTGTGCCCAGTGGGACAGGAGTATTCCACATGTGTTTGTTTTGACAACACCGACAGGCAGTGCTGATCATGATCATTTTGCCCACGATGGGGTGCTTCGGACCCTGAAAAGAATTTCAGCGCAGCAGCTCAGTGGCCTTCGGTCTTGACCAAAGGACTGCGTGACCCTCTTGGGACACACCACAGACCCTCACCAGGTCCTGCAGACACGTTCCGGCAGCATCAATGCCCTGCCCACTTTCACTCCCCGGCAATCGTGTGGTGCCCTCAGCGATGCCAGCAGGTTCAGTGCCAAGAAAGAAGAGATGAGACATTGGTGCAGTGTGTGTGCGCATCTACTTGGACGCCCACGGAGCATTTCGGTCTCCTCTCCTGTTCGGCTGCCCGGGCCGATTGCCAGTGTTCTCATCTCCCGTCACACACTAAATCATACAGGGCTGGTGCAGAGTCACTTGGAACACATCCAGCTTTAATTGCAAAAATGCCCAAAAGCAGCAATGTTAAATCCTATCAGTGTTTGTGAGTTTGTTTCCTGACTGCTGCGGGCTGTGTGGTCAAAGCTTCAGTTCAGTTTTGTTTCCTGAGGAGGTTAGGGCTTTAGCCTTGTGAAAAGCCAATGGAAAAAATACATAAATTGCAGCTCGGCACATCCTGTCTCTGAGTCTTGATCCGGGATTCAGTACAGAACTGTAGAGCTCTGATCTGCCAGGGAGATCACTGGATACTGCCATGTGTGTTACAGTGACAGTGCGTTAAATCACAGCCTCATTTCTGAGACGTTATTATTTCACTTGATTGATTTGTTTCATCGACTGATGTGCCAAATGCCTTTATACAAGGAGGTTTACAAGGCCTTTGATAAGAAACCTTGTGCCATTTACAGATTGTTGAGGGTAATAGGTGAGAAGTGTGCTCAGATGTCACATGTCATCCCAAACCAACCTATAGGACTGGTGCCATGCAGGATGGCACAGAATGGGTTGTGGGGCATTCCAGTTACATGGATTGGCACAGACTGAAGCACTAACTGACCTGCTGTTCTCTGCTCAGGTTTTGCAGGCACCCCTGGCTACCTCTCCCCCGAGGTCCTGAGGAAGGACCCTTACGGCAAGCCAGTGGACATCTGGGCCTGTGGTAAGTCCTCCAGCGCTGCTCCACATGTCCCAGCATGCTTTAGGGCACGGCCTAGTGCTATCTGATGCTGCTTGTCCATCTTCTGTGTAGGTGTGATCCTCTACATCCTCCTTGTGGGCTACCCTCCCTTCTGGGACGAGGACCAGCACAAGCTCTACCAGCAGATCAAGGCGGGCGCATATGACGTGAGTATGGGCTTCCCACACGCACACACTCGCACAACTAGCACAAGACTGCTCTTTAAAAACCAGGGTCAGTCATCCTGCAGCCCACCTCCCAAGCAAATCTCTTCACTAAATGTCCAGCTGTAATCTGAGAAGGTCAGGGTATTTCCAGGAACAGTCTAGGAAGGCCAGAGAAAGTGATCTTGAGAACGAAGCTGGAAGTGTCAGGACTTTAGGACTTTGAGACCTGGATGGAAACATTAGGTGACATTTTTCTTGTGAAATTATTATTATTAGGTCTAAGACTTTGTTTAGACTTCACATTGAGTCCCTTGTTTTCAGCATTCCTGAACATACGGTAAAATTAGACAAAGTGCTTTCAATGTGTTTTGAGTTTCAAAAACAATACTGCTTTTTTAGCACCTTATCAGTGTAATCTGTGAAGTGCATATCCATGTCATTTTGGATATGACTTTCCCTCTCATGACCTCTTTCTTTTTTCTGTTTCTTCTCTGTTTCCTGCTCTTAGCACCCTTTTTTGCCATTGTAGACTTTGCCGTGGAAGTCGTTTGTGTGTCAGAAATGTTCAGTAGACAGCTCCAAAACATTACAGGATGCCAGTCCAGCAAGACTACATTTTGCAAAGAATTTAAACATTTCACAAACCTTACCCAGGAGAGTAAATGTTGGTGAAATCCGTTTTGGTAACCTTCTCTTATTAATGAAGTCTCAGTTAGAAGCAATTTGTCTGATTTGTGATGAAAAGAGTCCTTTCTGAAATGGTACATGCCACACAATGGCTTTATTTCAGAAGTTTGTCTTTACTCAGATTTTATTTTTCGTTGGAACAGAAAGAGAAACAGAAACAGAAAGGTTTGACCCATCTAGCTTGTTTGGAGGTTAGAAGCTAATTGATCTGAGGATCTCATCCAGCTGTTTCCCAAAAGAAGGCAGAGTATTGCTTCAACAACATGACTGGGTAGCTTGTTCCAAATTCCCACAGCCCTTTGTGTAAAGATTTGTCTGTATAAAAAGGACTGCCACATAGTTTACACTTGTGTTCTCTGCTTGTGTTTCACAGTTCATTCTGATGCTGTCCGTTGGGTTGACTTTGTCAGTGCCTTTGAAGATTTGAAAACTTGTATCAGGTCCCCTTGTAATCTTAGAAAGGGTTCAGTTTCTTCAGCTTGTCAGCCTCAGAATGTATCTGTTTGCTCTTCTCTGGACTGATTCCAGAGCAGCAGTATAATGTTAAATAAATATAGAATAAATAAGTACAATTTCTATAATCTGTTGACCAAAACTATACACAGTATTTTCAATGAGGCCTTACTTGAGCATTATAAGTTGCATTCACTTACCATCTCCTGATTTCAATCTACACATTTATCTATATACAGTATACTAACATTATGACCTTATTATTTTGTCCCCACAGTGATTATATTGTGTCAATATAAATACCCTAGTCTTTTTCATAAGTAGCATCTACAGTCCCAGTATTTCCCATTTTGTACCATTAGATTTCTCTATCTCTGTCCTCATAGTGGCGTCCCATCGCCTTCTCATCCAAATGTGCAAAACAGCTCACAAGACACCATCAGTCTCCAATAAAACACCATTTCCTTTGTTTTCTCAGGAAAGGGGAAAGGTGTCTACTGGCAGTTTTTTGGGATGTTTCTTGACACAATGGCAGTATATCCACAACAGCAGAGTGAACAGTATGTCAGTTGTCACATCCTCTGCTTAGACAGATTCATGTGTACTGGACAAATTTAAATTTAAAACATACATTCATGCCAAGATGCATGGCTGTCCTTGTGCCGCTGTTCACTGGCACTTCCTGTCCTATGCTAGATTAAACTGATACCTCAAAACCCACTGGCCAAAAAGAAACTGAGCAACCTTCTGGGCTGCTGATCGGTCGCTCACTCAGGGCAGGACAGGCCAATACTTAAATCAGTGGCATGAGTCAGTGACATTGTGCTCATTGTAATATAGCAGGGGCTCGTGTGTGTTCTTCCCAGCCTTCGGGATACTGGGATCAGTCCCCTTTTGCCTGCCAAATGAGGACCCACATCCTCATTTGGGTAGCGTCCTCACACACAGTCCTCCCCCCACTAGGGAACTGGGCGTTGGTATTGATCTCATTACAGGGAAGCATCTGGGCTGCTAAAGGGGCAAGATTGACGCCCTCGTTAATTTTTAATTGGCCACAATTGAGAGCTGTGCTACTGCTATTGATCCTGTCAGGGCTGGAGACGCATTGCGGACGAGGGGGAGTGGTGTGTGTTTGTGGTGGGGGGATGTTGGGCTGTGTTCCTCCCTGAATTTTATAAACTGGGACTCCTAGGCTGTTGCTTGTAACTTAAGTAGGTAGATTTGAATTCTTTTTGCACTTCACTTAAGGTTCCTGGCTTTCAGCATTTTCCCTGACGGCGTGAGATTGGGTTTTTGCAGTTGTTATTGCTGCTGAACTGCCTCGTAAGATGGACCAAGGCTCACGTTTTCATTTGCCAGCTGAAGAAAGGCCCTGTGTGTGCTCAGGAGACCCGTACGTTGGTATCTGGCCAGTCAGAAACGGGAATTCACTTCCATGTTGCATAATGAAAGCCTGCCCAGTGTTTACGCTTATTGCCTTTGTCCAGTTGGCAATTTTTGCTAAAAAGCTTAACAGAACGGCAAGAACGTTTGTGTGAAACAGGGATCTTGCATGGCTGTGTGAGTGTGTGTCGGTGATGTGTCTGCGTGTGCATGCCGTTGTTAGCCATTGTATCCGTTGTGTGTGTAACTGTTCATTTATTCACTGGAATAAATGTCACTAGAAAACCTAACTAATCGTTTTCAAGGGACAGGTTCTGCATGGAAGAACAAAGAGCTGTTTTCTTCCCTGTCCTCTGACAACCCTGATTAAATTGCTCTCTGCAGGAGGGTGCATTGATCTGGGCCTCTCGCAGCAGGCCTGCTGCTGTCTCGCTGTGGGAGGAAGGGGCAGAGTGCTCTTAGTGTGGATTTGAAGGCGTATCTCAAAGCCCCCACGCTGGGTGCACACCCCTCCAGGGAGGTCAGAGCAGGAGCGCTGGAGTTCTCTCTCTGTCAGGATCTTCTCATGACTTGGCGTGATGCCCCACATTGTGCCTCTGGACCAACAATTCCAGGAAGGAGATTTTAAAGCCGAAAAAAAAACACCTTTCTGCCTTGTTTTTGACAGATCCTATTTGTTGTTTCTATGAAAAGAGACACAGAACTTTCCTTTCTAGAAAGCACAATCTTTTCTTTGTGCCCCTTTTCTAAATGTATGTAAATCATACAGTATTGTTTAGAAACCTGCAAGAATGCAGCTTCCTGAAGAAACTGGTTTGGCAGGGTTCCATTTCAGTGATGGTGACTTGGTTAAATGGGATTGTGGTTCTTCCTTGGAATCCGTACGTCTCGACAGATCAGTGTTGCTGAACACAAAGGCCTCTTTCTGTACGTGACTTATACAGCTGACTGGGGGACGGTGGTAGTCCTATTGAAAACGTGGTAGGTGTCTGGTACAAGCTATACGCAATGTAGTTGAAAAACACCCTTGGTCCTTTGACAAATGGCCGAATGAGATTTATAAGCAAAGAAACAAGACTCTCAAGAAGAACAGCCTCCTGCCCTTTATAACCTATTTTATGTAATTATTGAAAGCCTGAGCTGTGTGTTCCTTATTCTGTCTCTCTCTCGATCCCAGTTCCCCTCTCCAGAGTGGGACACTGTCACCCCTGAGGCCAAGAACCTCATCAATCAGATGCTGACCATCAACCCAGCCAAGAGGATCACTGCTGACCAGGCTCTCAAGCACCCCTGGGTCTGCGTATGTACTCTCTCCCTTTCAGACTTTCACCCACTCTTAGTTGTTTCTCTGTTTGTATGGACAATGCCGCCCTCTACTGTCAGACTTCTGACTGCAGAACCGGGGCCCTATCAGTGGACATCCCCCCCCACGGGCTGTGCAGAAACTAGTCATAACAAGAAAGCAAGCACAGCACAGTCCTTGGAAATAACTAGGTTATGGATTCCTCTTGGCATTGGAAATGTTTTTGTCTGAATTTATGTCGAATTAGGCTATTAGCTGTTTTCAGGAATGTATGGTGACATTAGCATGGAGGAGTCCAGCCCCTGCAGTCCTCCCCAGTAAGCATGAGTCCTCCCACTCTGCCTCATGCATTTCTTGTCTTCTTTCTCTCTCCTTCAGCAACGTTCTACTGTGGCATCCATGATGCACCGCCAGGAGACAGTGGAGTGTCTGCGCAAGTTCAATGCCAGAAGAAAACTCAAGGTAGCCTGGCCTGTCATCTATTTCTACAGAGTTCCCCTTTCCCTCTTCCTCCCCATCCACGCCTGGGTTCCTACAGATTCTCCTGTTCTTTTTGAGGGCAACACAAACACTGCGTTTTCTGATCATTCATGCAGGCCCTGAAGCAGATGCTCGTGCAACAAGGTGTTTATACCACAAATGTGCAGGGTCTGCTTTAGTGACATTTGCTGTACAGTTATGCCTGCTACAAGTTAATCTGCTGATTTGCAAATACATTGCAATTCTATGGACGCCAAGATTCAGTTTCTTTTTCCCAGTGCTTTGCATCAATGTACAGTAGATCCAATGATGAAGTCATAAGGTAGAGCAGACAACAAGCACTCATGAACCTGTCGTGTGTTGTCTATACTGTTCACAGTCTAATGCACTGTTTATATTGCCATGAGGTCTTCAGAAATCTGCACCTGTGCAGTGCATAGGCAGAAGTGTAACCATTTATTGTAAAATACCTTTAATATTACACCTTTTTAAATATTACACCTGAAGCAACAGCAGAACCTTTCACTAAAGAGCATCTTTCATCGTATGCACTGTTACAGCATTAAAGAGAAGAATAAATGTACCAAATACTTCTTATATGACTGTGTAGACAGTGTTCTGGGACTGTCAAATCACACCCACCCTTTTTTACATTAATTTTCATGCCGAAAATTGATTGGTCATCCATTGATTTGCTATATGGTGCACTTTTCAGGAGCACGTACCCCACACTTACAGCTGTGTTACCCTTACTTGACATGCTGGGGAGGCTGAGCCTTTGTTGCCACTGTGTGTGCCAGCTCACATCGAGTTAGAAGTGTCTGTGGGCAGGGGTGTTCTGCTGTAACTGTGCAACAGCGGCTCAGACAGATTAACACCAGTCTCTCTATTTCAGGGAGCAATCCTCACCACCATGCTGGTCTCCCGAAATTTCTCAGGTGAGTTCTTGGGAAGATCTGTGTTGCTTACGTAAGAGATGAACGTCTGCTGTTCATTCCCACCTCCTGCTGGGATGAGGGATTCTTTTCCACTTCTCCTCAATTCAAGCGACACGGATGGACTCTTTCTGTGGTTTTGTTTGAGGGGTAGAAGGTTTGTTGAACAGAAAGTACTGAGCACAGACATAACCACCCCTTATTCTCCCTGTCTTGAGGGAATTATAGCCTCTCAGAGGGCAGCCTGAATCGGTGTGTGGGATACGGAACTATATATTCTGCTTAATGGCACAGGAGTGCAATAAAGGTTGCAAACAAGAGATGGCCATTCTGGCCATCTTCCTCGTTTGGTTGCAAGTAGCTTATTGATCCAAGAAATCCACTGATTAAAAGGTCTTGCAGCTGAGAGTTATTTAATGGTTTGTTGGAATGAAAGATTGCATCCGCTCAGCCTAGTCTGAGCAGAGCTGTCCTCACCCCTTCTCCACTGAGGCACTCTCATACTCATGGTAGGATAGTGACCTCTGCTGTGGGAACTGGGTACTGCAGTCCCACCCTTGTAAGAAGAGGCTCCGCAACACATTTTTCCCTGGACGCTGCCTCTGCACTGAGGATCTCTGATTGCCGTTTTGTTTTTACTTTTGGTAAAAATGGTACTTCTTCTGGATTCCGTTTGAAGGGATCTTATAAGTTCTCATGTAATGGAACGAGATTTCCCTAGTCCTGGTTTCAGCGTTGCAGCTGTGTGTGTGTGGTTTTGTAGTTTGGCCTCTTGCTGTAGTGCTTTGGGGGTGTATCCTGCACTGAATGAGCCTTCCCTCAGGTGATGATTACACTAGGATCCCTATGATACTGCAACAGTTTCTAAATGGTTACACAGGGCACTGAGACCAGTATCTAGAATTGAGCTTCAGGGAATGGAGACACAGACCAAAAAGAAAATACCCTGAACCCCATCTGTGTAGTCCAGACTGGACAGCCTTACTCCTTTTACCTTCCTCTGTAGTCCATTGTACTGGGTTTCTATTACAGATTCTGTTCTATTACAAATTGATCAAACTATTGCAAAACTTACAGAAATATCTAGTTTTAAAAGGCTTACCTTATTTCTGTATTTCTATATAGTTATAGAAATATCTAATGCAAATCACAGGAAACTCCACTGTGAATGCATTGCAAGGGCGTGGCAATACTTGTTGGAGAACTTGAATTACTGCATTAGTTTACCATGGTAAAAGATTGTGGGGGGCTGACCATCTGGACTTTGTCAGGCCTCTTCATCAAGAACCGTTACAAACCAAACAAGCTGTTCTGCCCATCGTGTCCCTTTGTTCTGTCTGTAGTGCTCCCCCATCTCCATGTCTGTAGGGCCCCCCCATCACATTCAGCTGTTTTTCTGGTACCGTAATTGATGTCCTTCTTGTGCCATGTTTCTGGCTCTGTGAAAGAAAGCATGCCATGGCCTCTGGTGAGTATTTCTTGCTTGCAGTGTGAAACTGCTCTCAGCAAGCCAGAGTCCAGGTGTGTTAAGCCTCTGAGCTTCCCATAGGAGCTCGGAGAAGGCTAATCAGACGGCAAGCTCCCAGTTTGTAAGGGAGGCTGCTGCAGCCATACACTGTCCGTGTCCGATGGCTCCTCCCAACTCTGCGCCTTTCTGTCCACTAGTGGGCCGGCAGAGCACCGGCCCTGCTGCTGCCGCCACCACCAGCACTGCAGCGCTGGCGGAGCAAGGTACGTCCCCACAGCGGGGGGGGGGAACCGCTGCCCCCCACTCGTCCCAGCCAGCATGTCGCCTGGGAGCCTGCCCTGCAGTCACACTGGCACGCATGCCCGCTCTGACACAAATGCTCACACACACGCCTGCTTGCCCCCAAGATTCTCCATTCGTTCACCCGCTTGCAGGCGGCAGTCAGACTTCCACAGAGTCTGATCCGCTGCAGGCTCATCTATAAGCTGCACTGGTTAGGCAAAAAACTGTCAATTATAGGTGTGCAGTACCCATTGCCAGCAGGTGACCTGTGTACAAGAACCTGCAATTTGTTAAAGTGAAATAGTACGATCTGCCGTGCAGTGGGAGTCTGATTGCCTTGGCACCTTCCATCACCTCCCTGTGCCCCCCCCAGCTTCTGGTGTCCCATGCAGATGCCTGGCTAGCAGGGCACAATGATCTTTGCGCAGTCCCAGACTATCAGCTTGTAAGACACCCAAAGGCCACTGTTATAGTGAAAGACTAGAGTGCAAGATCGCAAATTACAGTAGCTCTGTGTGTTCCTCTTCTGCTGGTGGATTTCATCAGTGAGCTAGACTCAGGTGTCCTCTGTCAACATAATGCGTCGTTCCTTCAAACCTTTTACAGTTCATGTGACCATATCATCTGGCCTTCTAGTAAATACAGCAGGGTCTGTGGTAAACTCACCTGTGTCACAGAAAAGCAAGACCAGAGAATAACATACAAAAGCATTTAAATCTCTTGAGATAACTAATGCCTTCCAGTTATAAGAAAATGCTCCATCCAGTAAATTGTTCTGCTTTATAGCCTGAGGTTTAACAATTTAACAAAACACATTAAACATCAGATCAGATTAATGCTTACATCTATCATTTATGTTCTTGAACAGCATCTGTACTTAATTTGTAGTAGTATATTATACATGTAAATGCATATTAAAGAGAGGGATTTTCAACGCATCATTGTCGACAGAGTATTGAGAAACAATAAAACACTGCTCATGTGAGTAGTCCCAGCACTCTTCTTGCTCACTGTGACTTTGATAATGATAAGATGTTTTTTAGTGATCTCATACTGTAAGTAAATGATCAATTGGTTTATCTTCAAATGCTCAAAACAGTAGTTTTTTTAGTTCTGTAATAAGGAGTGTTAATCAGTTCAAGGTGCCGGTTTCTTTTATATTATTGCTGTTCTTTGGTTCTGAATTTGTGCTTAGTTGTCTTTTCTATTTGGCCAAAAGAAAGCTTTTGTTAACCCTATGTTTGCATAATGTAGACCTTGATGACCTTATATTGACAGAGATCTCTTATTTTTGAGTGTAGTCACCCAAGTACATTATGACAGAGGGGCAGGAATATCTTTGAATATGATCCTATCTGCCCTTTGAAAACTGTGAAGCACACATTTTAGTAATAGCTACCAAAAGTATGCTAGTAAAGTCCTCCAGCTTCTCTTACAGATTTTGTGCCTTGGTACACTGCTTTAAAGAAAGCCATTAGCTATCTCCCTCTGAGTCTGGAGCCTGTAATCAGTCTTGGCTTTCCCAGAGGCGAAGGGCTGTGCTCTGTTCTCTGGGCCACGCCACTGTTCGGGCTGTCCTCTTCTCGCCCCCTGGTATTTCCCACAGTGCCTCTGCAGAGGTAGCAGTGATTGGAGACAGGGTACATATCTTACCGACTACACCTGCAGTCTTCACAGGTACTGGGTGAGTCTTAAGGTGCATTGTGTTGTGGTCAGCAATAAATGCAAAGGCCAACCAACAAACCTCAGCTAGCCCTGAGTTAAAGATGGGTCGAGCCAGCACCAGCTGACTAATGGCATAAGCCTAGGCTTGACCTGGGGGCATGTGTGCAAAGAGTTCAACCTGGGTTCTGGTACAAGCACCATGGTTCTGTTTCCTTAGCTCTAAAATTTAAAGTTTAAAAGACGTGTAAATTCAGTATCACTTGTACTGACTGGTATTAACGACCCATTCATTCATGAACACCACCACCACAATACCTCTTTAATGGAGTGGGATGTACAGATTTACATTCAAACTCAACCGTCCCTCCACCAGGTGAAGAAGCTGATTTAATACCATCCCACACTGCATTGGGTTGGAAAACCACAAAAACAGCAAGCAAGCATGCGCTGTCAGATTGCATGGAAATCAGATGCATTTTGGGTTCCACCATTTTTCTGTGGTTGCTGATCTGTCCTGCTTGCTGGTTTCATATGGAACGAACATCATTGACTGCTTGTGTCCTGTGATGGCTGGAGAGAGGCGCATGCAGTCCCTCAGGTCCCTCTGCTGGCTGGTAGAAACTGGGGAGCAGCTCTTGTAGTAGCTGAGGGTAGAGGCCATCTGCACAGGCCTTGCAGGTCCAACACCCACAACAGGACCATCTTAACCACTGTGTTCTTGACCACTGGAGGTCCAGGCTGCTGGTGTGACCATGTACTTACATGCATTTGCTTTGGAAAATTGTGATTACTAATGTATTTTGCTTTCACAGTGGTTTTCTGTGGCTTTTATTATGAGGGCACTGTGGTACTGCAATAAACCACCATGACTTGCAATAATAATTAAGTAAGGGTAGAATTGCAGGGCCTTACAAACACTCAAGATGGAAGATCATGGTCTAAGAGTAATCTAGTGTATTAACACTCAGTAAACAAAAGTACTGATGATGTTATGGTAGTAACTGGCCATGCAGGTTGCCCTTATGAAACGTTCCTCAAGGGATCTGTCCTTGCCTTCAGAGTTCCCAGTCTGACTCAGACTGACCTCTGGGCTGGGCTCTACAAAGGAAATAATGTTAAGAAGTTAGTGGGTTTAAGAAGAGCCAAGCTTGTTCCCCTGGGGTTCCCACAGTAGATGATGAAAGAGACGTCCACCAAGCATGAGGTGCTTAGTAGAGTTGTTGAAATGCAAATAGTAGCGAAGATGAGTTTATTTTTATCAATACTTACATATGGTATTGACTGTATGAACTCATTGGTGAGATGACACCTCTCTAAAAGGAAGAAGGGGTTGTGGAATATGACCAGTCTTCCAGCTGCAGTTTAAAATGAGGCCGGTAACACTGGAAGCTGGTCGGAGAAATGAGCCCTAGACTCCCTCACAGGCAGCCATGAAAATGGGGAAAGTAAGTTTGCTGAATGCCTCCAGTCAGTATTTTGCATATCCTCCCACTGCAAATATAACAGCTTTTTATTTAAGTGGGTTTGTATATAATCATCACATACGTGGTCTTGTTTTTTGGTGTTTTCAGGCAGCTCAGGCAAGCTGTTTTAGGGTGTTACAAATGTTGCTCTCTTCTTCTGCTCTGGTGGATGCCTGTAGTCTCTCCAGGCTTTCAGAATCTCAGGCTGTGATAGACAGGCTCTCCTAGGTCAGTTTGTAGCAGTAGACGCCTCACTGAGCTTTAAAGAAGCAGTGTGTGCATCTTTGCTACTGTAGTTTTGCAAGATTAAAGAGTTGCAATATTAAAAAGTAAGCAGACGTGCCAGAGTCTTAAATGTAGCTTCACTGAGTCGGCCACATCATGTCTGTGATGGTTGTTTAAAGGCAATCCAAGAAGGTTAGAATACTTTCCTACATTTAATTATTTTATTACTGGGTAGTTTAATCCTTAGTCCTGGCTAGTCCTGACTCTTAACATCTATGATAAAAAGAGCCCCTTGTTGATACCTTTATTGGTGACTTCAAATGCTGTGTCCATTTCCTTTAGGTCCACCCATTCACCACATCACAGTGTACAGATCCCCGGCACTCTACAGTAGAGTTGGTCTCTGTGGAAAAGGACTCTTTCAGAATTAGGCCCTGACCTTGAGCATTCAAAGGACTATCAATACTCATCACCAGCCCACTTTGTCTTCATACCTGGTCAATAGGCACAAATTACAATTTGTCTTTCATTTGTCAGCTTCCTTTGTCCAAGACACAAATCACATGCACTATTGTGTGTATACAACAGAAGCAGAACAATTGCAGTCCTGGATAATGCAATTTGTTCCATTATGCATCTTCAAGTGTTGGCTATGCTCTGTTCATTCTGCAGTGAAACCTTCATAGGCAGAAGAGTGAAAGTGAGCTGTTCATGTCACAGCAGTCACAGAGCCCAGCCCTGTTCTGTAACGAGCAGCTTGGTAAAGAAACATTTTGAGCACCGGCACAGCAGCGGCGTCTGAAAGCTCTGCCTTATGGATCTCGCATGGCCAGATGTTGATGCTCATGCACAAGACTATTTCCAATGCATGGGCAGAAATGTTGGAAAACCAGCTAATTCTGTTTTTATTTGGGGAACAGGTGATTTTTAATTCTGTGGGAAACTTAGATCCAATTTTCAGCCCCTTGTACTGGCAGACAATGGGGACTGTGAGAAATGCTCTCCATTCACAAGTTTACACACTGCTGGTTCTGCAACAGTGTTCTAGTTTGTATTGGTTGGAGGAGGCATACAGCTCTCACCAGTGACACTGCGGGCTCAGAGGTTCTCACTTATAGTAGTAGAAGCAGTAGTTGAGCAGTTCTGGTAGAGCCGCCCCAGTTCTGCTCAAGGTCAGCGGACGTTTGGACTGCAGGGCTCAGACTGAGTTTCAGGCAAGTGCTTTTACACTTGAGACCTTGCATCTTTTTGCTTTTTAAGAATTATTTTCTTCAGGTTTGCATGCACACTTTATTGCTCTGCGGGTTCAGGGTGAAGATAAGTCTGCTCAATGTCTGAGCCTTTTCAGATTTTTACAGGTTGCAGTAGTATTTGCTCCAAATGCTAGATATTGTGTTTTGTGCCTTTTACTGACAGTTGGCTAAAATATGGTGCTTAAAGTGATCAACCCATCATGGTCAGTTTATGAGAAATTACATGTAAACAAAGGGTTTTCAATCTGGTATGGTGCATATAGGGCAGAACTAGTTGTGGTCAGTGTCCCATGCCCTCTGCTGTCCCCTGTCCTCTGTGCTTTTCACTAGCAGAGCTGATTTAGGAGTGCTGTTGGAAGAGATGGTTGTCTCCCTTTTGTGTGAGTCTAATAAATGGTGCACCCTGGGACCTGTAGTTTCAGTAGTGAAAGTTGCATGTTGAAGCCTTTGAGATATAACCCAAACATACTGCCCTCCACTTCATTCTAACTGCAGCATGCACCACACGGGAGAGTTTTGATTGCATCCTTGAAAAGATTTCTTTTTAACTAAGTGTTATGAATCTTGCTTTTTATTTTTCCTGCTTTTCTCTCCTTTTTTTCTGTGGAAGGTAAGGATCTCTCAGATCTCACTCTGGTATTTTCTGTTCCCCTTACCATGCCATAGTGAGTTTTACTCCCAATCCACCCAGCTCAGAGTAGTTTTTTCCTGAGTTTTTACATCCCAGTGCAGGGCAGGATCCCATCTGGGCTTCTGCTGGACCAACCAGTCAATCTGGTACCTTGTTGAAACCACCAGAGTGGGTGGTGAGAATTGGTCTATTTATACTGTAATCCTGTTGTGAACCTCAAATGTTGAAAAAGATGTTCCTATTTATTTACTGTTGAAATGCATTGGGTGATGGCGATGTTTTTAATAAACATTCATCGTTTATTCACCCAGTTTTTTATGTCAATTGACGGAGGCAAGGCTGATCACTCAGTGGTGTGTGACAGCTCTCTACATACAAAGCAGTGTTTCTTATCGAGAATGATTTTCTAACAGCTGTCTCTTCTTTTGACATTGGAGTCAAGGTTCAGAGAGCTCTAGATGAAGGATCTGTTGATAGATGTCATATCTTGCCATATTTTGACCCATACGTTCTGATTTCCCATGCTGTGATCTAGTGATGTCACATGATTCAGAATGCTTTTTAAGCTTCCTGGGTGGCTCGTGATTGCCTGTTATTCACTGCTCTTTACTCTTGAGAATGCAACGTGCTCTGTCCTTTAGTTGTGGAGTTCCATCCGTCTCCTTGGACAGCTGTAATTCTATGGACCTGTGTGAGCTGGCAGTGTGCCAGAACAATGCGGCACTGTTGTCTGTTATGTCCCTGCTCTTTGACAGAAACCCTTCGGCTTGGAGGACAAGAGCAAATCTCTCCAAGAAGGTGCAGCGGAGTCTGCATCATCCAAAACAGTCCACGCTGTCCTACTTTTCCGACCAGCGCCCCCAGACTAAAATTTCTTAGAAATACAGCAAATTCCCATGTTTGGATGCAGGCAAAATAACCTGTGTTTTGATTTTGAGTGACGTACATGTTTAGCCCAGTCTGTGTGCCTTGACTAATATCCCAATTAAATCTGTAAAGGAAAAACATGAAACAGCAGGGGAGTCGCATGTGCTATGTGTGTGTGATGTGATTTCTCCCACACTAAAACTCTTTATCTTTTTCTTTTTATCTTACAGCAGCCAAAAGTTTACTAAACAAAAAATCGGATGGAGTGAAGGTAAGGGATTTTGAGGAAAGTGCTTTGTGTAATTCACTCTGTCTCTTCTCTTCGGTCTTTCCTGCCTCAGGTTTCTCTGCATCGTCTTAGCTGTAATGTCTTTCTGAGGAATCTGCCCTAACTGAAGGGCATGGTGAGTGCTGGCCAGCTGGCTGGATGAGCACTTTTCAGATCCCTCTGCCTGCTGTCACAAAGGATTGATTCACATGAAACAAGTTGACCTGTGACCCTCGGCGTATTGTATCGGTAAACCTGGCTTAATAGTTTAGTCCACTACACGCACTTCTGATAATGAACGCAGAGCTTTGTTGATTTTGTTCAAAATGTAATCAGAAAAAGTCTTCTCTGTTGCCTTATATTGCCCTGGATTAGAGCCTTGTCCTCATGGCAAAAGGGCATGAGAACGATGAAGCCTTGTCATTCCAGTTGTAGCCTGTGCACACAGGATCAGGTTGCTCAGGACGTCAGAGATGGAGATCACAATGTGCTGGTGCAGAGCAGCATTTTCAGCCTTGATTTGCATGCTATACTGCCATTGAGAGGAGTAACATGTCTTTAGTAAGGAGGGCTGAAACTGTGAACCAAGGAATTTTGCAGATATTTCAAGTTAACAGTGCAGGGGCAGAGTGCATCACTGCTGTGTCAGCAGGATGGCAAGAGTTCAGATAATGTATGTTTAAAGGGGATGCAAAGTTACTGAAAAACTGAGAACATTTTTGTGCCTTTAAATACACAAATGACATGACGTTGTAGTGCAATTTGCACACTGGGAGGTATAAATATAAACACAAAAAATGAGAAAAGGTTTTTTATGATTTCTCTTTTTGCTGCTTTGTTTGGGGTCTGATGCAGTCTTTGTACCCAGAGCAGACCTTCCTATTAATCAGCTGGCAAGTTTGGTAACCCCTACAAGACTTCTGATTGGTCACGGGATTCTGTAAAACACGGATACCATGACTGCAGGTGCCTGTGTAATCCGAGCTGTCGCCAAAATGAGCAATTTGCAGCTCTCTGTGGGATAGCGCTGAATAATGTAGACCGGCGCAGAGTTTCCTGGCACCTTCTGTTGTCACCTTTCTCCATTTTCCCAAAATGTGTGACTGAATAGCTCAGCATGCAGGATAATTACGGAAAGGAGAGAAATGATGCAAAATCATTTCATCTGTTGATTTTCCCCAGCGACATGCCTTGGTATCCCATACTAGGGCCTTGTAACAAGGTGTCAGTATTTCAGGTAGTACACTTCCCTGGGCTTGCAGATCCACAGGAGGTACCCCTGAGCTTAGGGACAGTCTCCAGGGTGCCTTGTACTGCACACACACTGGCGTGACTCTGACTTGTATTCTCACCAGAAGTGGATTTAGGACTGTGTACTTTATCTGTAGGAATTAATACTTGCTCAGTTGCTGTGGACGTGCTCTCCAAGTCCTGAGAAAGCCAACTGTGCTTGAAGTTAGTATTAAGAACTAACAAAAGCTGGCTCCTTAACTTCCTGATTCTCACAGCTTGAGTTCTTAACTCCTCTGTCTGGCCAGCAAAAACAAAATGCTGAAACAATGACTTTTACAGTTTAACTACAGACTGTTTGCACTGCATGTTCCTACTGTACCACACTTATCTCCGAAGCAGAGGAGAAAATTAGTTAATTCTGAAATCACATCTGTGCTCTGTCGTCTCGCTACTGGGATGATGTGTTGTTAAGAAACTACAGCACTTTTTTTTCCCAAGTGTACTGTTAATCTATTTTGAATGTTACTCATATATGGTATCTACCAATAGCATTTAAGTCTGTTTCTGCAATATGGGCATGTTCTATCTTCCTGCAATATGGGCATGTTTCAGGTCTTCCTGAAAAGCATTAGCCAGTGTAAACCACTCTGGTTTGTTTCTTGGGTTTCTTATTTTCAAGGATAAGACGTGAGCTCGTTGTAATCAAGATTCTGTTGGTTTTGTTTGTAAGGCGCCCCCTTCCCCTTCTCTTCGTACTTCATTCGTCTCTCTCAAAGTACTTGTCCTTGCTTTTTTTTTCCTTTCTGTGAACTCTTCTAACCAGCAGCTGTGTTTTTCTGTTTTCTTTTGTTATTTCTTTTTATTTTCCTATTCTTTCTTCCTTCTGTTGTGATCTGTTCAGAAAAGGAAGTCCAGCTCCAGTGTGTATTTAATGGTGAGCTCTGTTTGGTGTCTCTTGGTGAGATGAAGTGGTTTGTGGGGTGTCGGGTCATGTGTGTGACGGGGGGTGGGGGGGTGGGCTGTCTTGTTGTTGGAAATTCATCGACTCCTGGTTCATCTGACATCACCACACACCACCCCCCCCCACCCCCTCCCTGCCACCTGGCCCACACAGACATGTCCACTCCATGTGCCGTCATTGTTGCAGCGTTCACTGCTTCGTCTGTCTCTGTCACTCATCAGTCTCTGTGCTACTGCTAGGCCAAGTGCTCCTGCCCGGCCCCCCACACCAGATAGCTGGTGTCGCATGTGCCCAGGGGCAGCCCACCGACGCTAAACCATTTCTATTAAAGCAGTTCAAATCTGTCACCCCTTTTTCAGTTCTAAAGATGTTTTCAATACATCTTTAACTTCTCTCTAGAAATGAAGCACAAAACCTCCCCCTTGAGGAAAATCCAAATGAATGCACAGCACGCAAGAGGTTAGCATAGCCCTTTTCAAACCTGACACTCAAAAGACAGGATTAAATCAGTGAATTGTCCTCAGAAGGCCCCCAGCTTCATTCCTGGATCCTGCCTGGCGACAGCAGAAGGAAATGCTGGCTGTTGGCTTTGGCTGTGAAAAGGTCAGCTGATTCCTGTCGCCATAGCGATGGTACTGCGGCTCATGACAGCAGGCTTGGCCTAGTGACAGGGGAGGGGCATTGCGATGTTTTTGTTTTTTACTTTGTTTATTGATTACATTTTAATTTTCTAATTTTGCAAGAGCTGTCTCATATTTCTTTTTTAGTTTTTTCCCCCCCTCGGTTTCCTGCCAAGACTCATGAGCAGTAATGCTTCAGACAAGAGAAAAAAAAACATAAACGGAAATGACAACAGATGCAAAGGTGTTGCACAGCTGTTACAGGGTGTCTTAGAACACACAACAGAAAGACTCCTTGAGTTCTTTGTTGACTCTCTGTCCAGACCTTTTCTGGGATGTGTCTTGATTACACCTGGTTGAAGTGCCATCTTAGGTCAGGCTAGGACACAACATGCATGTCCATCACTCCCCACACACAGCCCATCTCCAAGCCTCACCTGGACTGGCCTGCGGCCCCTCCTTCACTGCCCTGGTACAGCTGCTCCCACCTGCCTAACCCCCTTTGAAAGCTCCAGAGCTGCAGCAGCGCTGCCCATCCGAGAATGACTTCACGAAACACCAAAAATCCCTCAGGATTGCAGGGATGGAAAGAGCATCCCCCTTGCCCACCAAAGTGAGCCATTCCAGGTTTAAACTGGCTGCAGCTTCCTGTGTCAAAGTTCACACCTCATCCTGGGTGTTTTAAAGTAATTGTGTGAGATTTGACAGGTTAAAATACCTGAACCAGACTGCCACTCTGCTTCATCAGTACAATACCTGTGACTGGAAATTCCTGGAATGGATCAAACTGGTGTCCAACAGGAATCTTGTTCCAATCCTTGTATTTCTGCCTTTTTTATGGGCTTCATACTATGGGATTTTGAAGCTATATTTTTTTTACATGTGTGTACATTTTTGCATGGGTGCGAGACCACTGTCGGAGGGCTCAGAGAGGGCCGAGCGGAGAAAGAGGCGATTGTCGTATAGCGCATTCACCCCACTGTGTGCACTTGAAGAAGCAGTGCTGTGCTCGCTCTGTGCCCAACCGTGCTCCAGCTTTTACTGTATTCATACACGGCGTTTGTGCCCATGTGCCACCTGACCACAATACAGTTCCTCCCAGTCCCTCTTTTCCTGCACACTTCCTTCGGATGAGTCATAAAACCAAGGTCCTGACTCTCTGTGGTCATGAAAAATCCCGGAATGTTTTTTGAAAAGACTAGGGGTGTAACCCCGGCCAAATTTCCCATTGGGCCTTTACTAATTATGACCTCCTAGTAATCCCCATCTATGAACTGGCTTCATCACTGTTCTCCTCCCCACTGATAGCGGATGTGTGGTGAGTGTACTGGTGCACTACTAGCATGTGCTCAACACAGCAGCGTGTGGAGATTGTGTGAAAACAGTAGTAACAGGGACACTCTGTTATTACATGGTCCTCATTTTAACTGTAACAAGTGAGCGAATGACCATGAAACTCAACTAGGTGAGAACAGTGTAAGAGTTACTGAAGGGCAGAGATGAGGGACCAACGTGTGCAGGTCCTGGTCTCTGGACCTTCAGTTTTCCACTGAGTGGTCGAGGCGGAGAATGAGGGGGGACAGGGAGAGACTGGAGGGTGCAGAGTGGTTGAGAGAGCAGTGGGTGAGAAAGAAGGTTAAGGAGAGCAATGGGGTTACAATTTAATTTTGTATAATTTTGTCAGGAAAATTCTTTTTCCTGTTTTTTGGAAAACATGGTGATGGTCAGTAGAAAAATAATACTTGTTTAGAAGGCTGAAAAGATGTTACAGAAAAGAAGGCTGCTGCCCACTAGAGCTCAACCGCTACATTTCTATCCAGGAATGAAGTAAGATTAAGGTTATTTTAATCTGATTTCATAAAGTGCTGTGATCCCCTCCAGTACATACACGTACAGTATATTCAGAAATGACATGGCATTTATTGTATTTATCAAAATACAGTATAAGCTGTGGTGTTTTCAGTGTGTGGGTCCATAGCACTCCAGTGAGACTCCAGCTCTCTGGGGGAGAGTGTTGGCTCAGGTTAAAGCTTGCTGTGGAAAGCAGGCACCTGGCCCATTTCCCCAGATCTCTGCACCTGAATCCTGCAGCCAGCCTCTGCTGTTGTAGATGGGATTTATAGTGCACGGAGCTTGTGGAGATGTAGAGAGCACTGTGCAGCTGGATGGCTGAAATGCTTTATATCTGAAATGTTTATATCTGAGCTGCAGTACTGCTTGTGCTAATACAGTATTAATAAAGAATGGTTTGCATTAGTTATTTTTTTGTTTTGCTAGAAATAAGGGTTTTGAAAAGGCTATTGAGAAGCATTTTTCTTCTCTACAGCTCAATTAGCTTTGGCACTATTGGGACTTAAAGACAATTTCAAATACCGCACTGCTGCTGAAATGGAACTAAAGGCGAAATAGTGTTTTGTAAAAGACCACTGAGATCTTGAGTCAGCTCTCCTGCAGTAACAACACCCCACAGCACACACTGCTTCACCCCACACAGAGAGTCAGGGTTAGCATCGGTCACAAAGCTGTGTTCTGCAGTCACCGACCACAGTAGCACATCTGCACCCTGGAAAGGCAGGCCTCCTGAGGCTCCAGCTGCTGACCCGTCTGAGTTGAGTCCAGCGGAGGCCCTTGCAGTGAAAGTATGTCAAGTGGACATTTCCAGGATTCTTTGAAAGAGCCATTCACACAGCACACCTGTTATTTCCACCACGGGTTTATCCCTTTCACAGTTAACCAGGTTCCAACACTTCAGTGTTTTTATGGCTAGTAACCTGCAAGCCTGTACAAGAAGCCTGTTATTGTACAGTTATAACACCATTCATGCATCACACACACATGCAGTTGTTTCTCAATGTGCATTTGCTTTCTCGTGAGCCTACCAAGCAGTTGCTGTGGTTCTTGTGCCCTCTGGTGGTTACCTCACCCAGGAAGTTTTGCTGTAGTTTTTAAGAAATCAGCTCTGAGGTGAAGCCAGTGAACATGTAGTGTTAGTGTCGGGTGGAGTGGGATTGCCCTCTGTCATCTCCTGGCCACCTACAGAGGTGCTTCAGGGTTGTGATACCTGTCTGAGTAGGTCACTTTGCACAATATGCCACTTCTGAATGTTGTGAAACACCAGAGTGGCTCTTTGCGAAGGTGGCTCTGGTTTTCCTGTCCTGTTATTATTGGGGTCTGCATTTTCTAGACAAGCTTGTAGAAGAAACAACCTGCCTTTTCTGTATCTTTTATGTAAATTTTAGCCGTGTAATTTGTCTTGGGAAGAGCACCATTGACTGCAAGGTGGCATTTTGAATAGTTTTCACTTGGTAACGCATATGAGCCTTTTTTCTGTGTTGCAGGGGTTATCGTTTAATAGTTCTTTACTGACGGTCTCTGTTATAGGTTGCTCTGGCATGCGTTGTTTTGTACAAACACGATGATGATTGATTATTGGGTGAAAGTTTTATGGTGAGTTGCTCAATTCAAGTCATGAGTCATCCCAGCTAATTTTCAACTTACACTGTAGATTTCTCACCCACAGCAGGTATTACTATTTAATTGTATTAAGAGTTTTAAAACAAACAGGTAAAATGTAGCTGAAAGGGAAAGTAAGGCTAAGCATGCTTTAAATCATTCAGGCGTAAAAATAACAAGCAAAGGAGTGCAATCATGGAAAAAAGGAGAAAGAAAGTCATAAGCTTGTATAAGGACTTAAAGAGCTGGGTGAGGAAGATGCTGCAAAAGAAGAGCTTCTGTGAGAAATTCTGTTCACGTTGTGAAGCTCAGATTGAGTCGTGGTGTTAATGGAATTTCTCATACAGTAGCAGGTTATCAAGCTTCAGAAACAACTTAAATCATCTGTCAAAAAGTTTAAAGTTAAATGTTTGCATTCCAATGGTTTGAGCAATATAGTTTAAATACAAACTTGATTTGAGAAATTGTCCCTATCCCTGTCCTTTACTAGGAGAAATTAGATTTTAGTGTTGTATTTACATTTTGATGCTTTTTACAAGAAAAACGTTTTTATGTGTAATGTCATTGTATTTATATATAAATATAAAGGTATATGTTTTAAGGACATAGTAAATATCATGGTCATATTCTTATGGGAGAAATAGCAGTTCTTACAATCCCTAACTCCACCATGGTATTTGCATGTTTTCTAATATAGTATATTCTGTATGTATTCTTATATAGTGTGTTCTAAGGGAGGAGTGGAAGTAGGGGAAAATTCCCTCCTATATGGTGTTTCACTTTATGCCTTTCAATCGCTAACCCAGATGTATAACAGACCTCCTGTATTCAGTTGATTAGCTGTTGTGTTTGGTTTCATAGGGTTGTCTTACAAGTAGCCTCGAGCTGCATGTGTCTTAGAGAGTCTTGTCAAGGATGGTGTCATAGCAGAATATCTCAGTGTTCTTGATTTCTGCTTTTAGCCAGCAGTCATATCAACCCTGCAACTCACCACTGACAGCACACTGAAGCTCAGCAGGTGTGGGTCTGGCCAGTACCTGGATGGGAGACCTCCTGGGAAAAACTATGGTTGCTGCTGGAAGTGGTGTTACTTGGGCCAGTAGGGGGTGCTCATCCTGCAGTCTGTGTGGTCTTAATGCCCCAGTATAGTGACGGAGACACTATACTGTAAAATGTCCTTTGGCTAAGATGTAAAACTGAGGTCCTGACTCTCTGTGGTTCTTAACAACCCCAGGGTGTTTTTCAAAAAAAGTAAGGGTGTTTTCGAGAAAAGTGCAATCTAAATGTAAGGAAAAAAAAATTAAGAAAGAGTTATGTAGGGTCTTCACCTGCTATACTCATGTCAGCTGTGTGAAACAGGTATTGTCCCCTGATGAGACCAGCCTGAATGAGTTTTCAGAAACAAAACGTGACTCGTAGTTGGACAATCTATTATTGTAAGCCGGTAGAAAAAAACACAAATGCAAGGAACATGCTTTGAGAGTATTGTTAAAGGAATGGTTAAAATTGTTCAGCTGGTGTGCAAACTCATTGAGACAACATCGTTCAACTGAAACACCAAAGGTTGTCTTAAACTGTTTTTACACCACATTCTTTGTTTACTGTGAAATAAAGTGGCGTGCTGTTTTTTATACAGAATCCTGGACATTCTGAAAGAGAAACCCAGTCTCACAGAGACAGACATTTTTAGTGGTGCAGGAATCTTCCATTCACACTGGCTGCGCACACAAGCTCACACATGTACACAGATGACCGCACCGATGCACGTCCTGCGCTTATTGCTCTTGGAGACCGGCACGTGCTTCAGGGGCCTCCTGCTGTGAGGGACGTGCAGACATACATACACACACTCACACTGCGTGTTCCTGTTTTCTGTGAGAGACTGGCCGACCACAGAGTTATGGTTCCAGGTCAGGGGCCTGTCTCTTGGTCCGCGGGTCCTACTGGGTCTGCGCCAGGAGCTGAGGCGGGCGGCTGCAGCTCCAGTGACATCTGGGAGCCAGGCACTCCTGCGTTACCATGGTGACACCGGACCCTGTGACAAGTGTCTCTGGAATTGGGGGGGAGGATGGGGGTGATTTTCTGGGAAGTTGGCAGAGGAAGAGGAGAGAATTACCTGATGACCTGGCCCCCCAGATTGGCCTGGGTGTTCTGCTCGGATCCTTTGGTTTGCATTTCTCTAAAAAAAATCATTTTGTGTTTGTTTTTTTTGCCCAGCCGCAGACAAACAACAGTAAAAACAGTGTAGTAGGCGGCAGCAAAGACAGCAGCATTTCATCCTCCGCACCAATGGTATCTCATCTAAACTTGGTTTATTTCCTTGTTTTTTACTTGGCATTGTTCTGTTTTTCGTTTAGTTTTTGCTTTTTTTGTTTGTTTTCAGTTACTACCCTCTTGTTCTGTTTTGCCACCCCCCTCCCTTCTTCCCCACCTTCGCCTCCATCTGGAAAATGTGTGATATGGACAATGTTCTGGTTCTTTAACAGACGCAACTGATTTGCATCCTGTGACCCACACCTGGTTCCCCTTTTACCGAGTCCCCGTTCCAAAACCTGCTGAAATAATTTGGAGTCCAAGTGCAGCACTTAAACTTCAGTGTTGGTAAAGAAATTAAGGCCTGACATTCCCTGGTTTTCGATGGGACAGTCGCCTTCTCGTTTTCCGAGCTCTGGCCCAGTTGTGTCCAGTCTGTTCCAGATGATCTCCCTAAATCAAGCACCCAGTTTCAGGATGAAGTCGAAGAACTGCAAGACCATGACACCTGCCCTGGGAGGGTCTGTCTCTTTCTCGCTGCTCTCTCCTTTGTTGCTCAGAATGCAGGGACACTTCAGGCCAGACCTTGGAAAGAGAGAATACATCTGTTTGGTCGAAAAATGTAGTTTCCTTTACCAGCACTGGAATCCTTGTTGGTCAAGTGAAGAGTGGGGAAAAAAGTGACGCAAAAGCACAGTACTGGTCTAGCACCTCTTTTATTAGTGTGTCAAAGTGGGAGCCAGGGCTGTCAGGAAACGGAGCTTTGCAGTTGCAGTGAAGATGCAGTCCCTCCTTTATCTATGTACAAACTACTCAGTGGTTTCCTTTTAAGATGTGATTGGCACAGTTGCAGCTCAATAGTCATTAGAAATCCTCAGGGACAAGGCATTTGAAGCACTGTAAAGGTGTGGGGTGTCCCTCTAGAAAAATAGCTGGCGCTTTTAATGGGCAAGTACACAGATTTGCGTGGAACATCTCGAAGTTCTCAAGCTGGAAATCTTACAGTTTCTAGGAAATGTTTCAATTCTCACAGCTCTCAAAGAGTTTGTTGCAGAAAGTGATCTGGGCTTGATTGCCAGATAAGAACCCGGTCACGGGCGGAAGAGGAGAGGGGATAGCTTAGGCCTGGAGAGGAAGAGAATGCTTCCTGGAACAGACAGCCGGGATGTAAAATCCCAGGAAGAAATTTCTCCTGCTTTGGTGCCCAAGTTCCCGAAAAAGCATAAGAACAGAAATCAATAGAAACCAATTTGCATGGAACAGCGACTTTCTTGACCCAAGTGTTGTGTACTTGCTCTTCGATGTGCCTCGTTATGAAAGTAGTTACCCAGGGCCCTTTGCCTGAGGGAGCGCTCTCTCTTTGCGTGCTGAGGTGATATCAGCTCCCTGTTGTGATGTGCCAGTCTTACTTACACACAAGAAGGAAGAGGGCAAAGCAACAACACCCTTCTTCCATCCTTAAAACATTCTTATCAGTATAAGGGCTTGCGTAGGTCCCTTATAGTGAGGGGGTCCTGTGTCTGAAAGCCCCAATCTGGATTACTTGCATCTTTGGCAAAAGGGACTCCTTTCTAAGATTAAACTCTTGGGGACTGCATCTTTTTGTCTTCTCAAAACAAGCTTACTGTGCGTGGGTCTTCGCAGTGTGTGTGTGTGGGTGTGTAGGGAGGAGGGGGTGACAGGACAGTGCATTGTGGGTGCCTGGCTATGACGTAGTGCTGAAAGCAGGCGCTTGTGAGGAGGGGAGTGTTGCTCTGGTGACAGCACCCTGGCTTTGCTGAGGGCCTGCCTTGGCAGTGCCAGGGTTGAAGGGGGGAGTGGGCACTGACAAGTCTGAGGCCACTGCTCTCCCACAGTAAAGCCCCCCCGCCCCTGCTCCCTTTATTTTCAAAGGGTTGTTTTTTAGATTTATTTTTGTAGCCTTTCCCTTTTAGCTCTCCACTTCCGTATGGACTTTTATCTTTCCCTTCTCTGCCACTTTTAAATTATTGTGCTTTTCAGCTATTAATTCTTTGTTCCAGTATTTGCAAGCCCCAGTTCTAGAACCCTCTTCTCTCCTAATCCAGAGCCCCCTGCTGTCCGTCCCTCCCTCCACCTGTCCATGTTGTGTGTGTGGTCCTGGGCTCTGAAACAGTGAGCTGTGCCAGGCTGTAGGGGTTCGCTCTCAGAGTGTGTACCTGCTGGGCGCACCCCTTCTCCCTTTCTCTTCCGCTTTCTAAAACTCTGTCTTGCTTCCTCTAGGAACCACAGACCACTGTCGTGCACAACCCGGCTGATGGCATCAAGGTGAGACGCTGCTTTCATTGCAGAAAAGCACACAAGCTCATTCACAGGCCTCACAAACTGGTTATGTCCACATTGTCAGTTAATTTGTAGTTTCTTTAGCCCAAAGGAGAATATTCAGATCCCTTCCACAGAATGAGCAGCCTGGACCAGGGGACACAACACCAAGCATTAACAGGAGGAGGTTATGCTGAAGGTTGTCACATAGACCAGCAATGGAGGAATCACCGTGGGGAAAAATGGTGATAATTATATTATTCTCAGGAGACGGTTCCTGAGAAAGCTAGAGTCAAAGCCTTCTTCTCCAGTGCAGAACCTGCCACTCTTTCTCCATTTCCACACTAACAGAAACTGCCTTTAATTGAACACAGTGTGGGATTTAATTACTCTTCCCAGAAAGTCAACTTGACTGACTGAAGTCTTTTGGGAAAGCCATGATGAGCACCTTCCCTTTGGCGTGTGTTCCAGTGCAGAAGGAAAGAAACACTTGTGTGCGTGCCAGTTACAGGGTCATTCCACACAGTGGGTGTGTCTGAAAGTGTCACTCCTGCAGGGGGTGTGACTGACAGTGTCACTCCCATGATAGTTGTGTCTAATATGATGACACTACCCTGATGGGTGTGCCTTATCCAATGTCTCTCCCACAGAGGACTGTCGTTGCTGGGACCTGTGAGCGCATGTGTGTGTCAGTGCCACAGTCGGCCAGTCTGATGAGCTTTCCTGTCTTATCTGCTTGTAGGGATCCACAGAGAGCTGCAATACAACCGAGGAGGAGGACTTGAAAGGTAGGGTTTTCACCTCAGCTGGTCTTCTGCTCCAGGTAGCTGGGCCATCACAGAGCAGGCCCGTTCTCCAAAGATACAGAGCGGCGCAGGCGTGCAGCTTTGTGACAGGACTGCTGCGGTTCACCTCGAGTTGTCAGCTCATAAACTGGGGGCCAACTGCTCTAGATCTGCCGAGGGACGGGCTGGCCAGCTGGGTTCTGAGCATGGAGTGTGCAGTCTTGGCCCGAGAGCCCCTCCCTGGTGCAGCAGATTACTGCAGAGGTAATCCCTGCCCCCAGAGAGCCCCAGTCCAGTTATTCTAATCAGTCACACTAAATCACCCGCATTTAAAGATTATAGACACTTGTTGAAACAAGCGATCAGTTATTCAAGCGGTGTTTCATTGAAGGGAACGCTGGTCCTTGAGGACTGTGGAATATTTGGATTTTTGTTCCAAGTGCTCTCTCTATTACTTTATTGAGCACAGCACCTTTTTAATTGGCTCAAGTAGGTAGTTGCATCAGCAGGCATAGGCTGCAAAGGAACAAGCCTTCATCAGGCTCCACAGCCTAAACGTTGTGCCTCTTTTCTTTTCAGCGTGGAACAAACCTTTACTCTTGTACATTTGTAATTGATCAACTAGAGATTGAAATTGAGATCCAGGCTTTTAGAAATTGATGACCTGCTGGAACTGGGCTCTGCAAGACCGGGATTAGAGCCTTGTGCTGTAATGTTGCACTATAGGGTCCATTTCGTGCTAAACAGACTAGGGTTGACCTTGCATATACTGTAGGGCCATACTTTACAGAAGATCTGGCAAAGACTCAAATGTTGGCTGTAGTCTCACCTCTGATAAACAGGCATGACAAATTATTATATGTTGCTGACATTGTGCTTGCTCCGAGTTAAAGCTGGTCAGAGTAACCATAGTTCAAAGTGTTAATGGTACAGGGAGAAGGTCAAATTCCCATTGCTTAAAAGTCTCACCCATGTGTGGGTGACTTTTACACAAGCTTATTTATTTCAAGCCTGTTGCTTTTAAATCTTTCGCAGATGTGTAAAGTTAAAATAACATGAAATTTATCATATTTCTTCCTTTCCTTCAATTTTTTCAAAAGCCCACATCAATACTGTGTAATTGTATTAGGATATCAAAAGAGGTTGTGTTTTTTTAACATTGCCACAAAACATAATAATTTATTGGCCATGTCCTAAATGCCGCACTAAGCCCTAAGTCCTTCCTCCATGTACGCACTTCTGTGATGTAGAGCAAGCAGTTGTTACCACAGGGTCATGGGACACCCTTGCATGGTGTCATTCGCTGGTTATGGCTCATGGTCAAAATGCTTTCTGTTGTTGCTGCTTTTGCTCTGCCTTTTTTTCTAGTTTATACAGTACCTACAAAGACTTTCTTAAATGATTTTTCACTAAATGTGTTCATGTTGAGCAGGCTCGACTCAAAACAGGCAAACTAAACAAAAAAAAAAGGAAAACTTGCCAATACGGCTGTTTATTCAAAGCTTTGCACAATTAAGTGTGTTTTATCTTCTCTCTCCCAGAACATAAATGACTGTGGAACTTAAATGTGTTCATTAAAATTAAACAGAACTTGTTGGCACAGTAAACTAAATTAAGTAAATTTGGCAATACCTCAAAGCTTTGTATTATTAAACATTTCATCTTTACATGTATAAAATTCACCCCAGGTATATGAATATTCATCAATCGAAATGGGATGATGAAATAATAGTTTTATATCAACACTTCGTACCTAGAATACATGTCAAATCCAAAGTAGCCTAAAAAAATTGTGTTTTTGCATTTTGCTAGCACTTGAATATTTTGTCTACGGCAATTGATTTGAATGGTAAACACATGAAACGTCACCGTTTTGCAAGTAATTTAGGGTAATTCCCTTCAGTGACATCTGCTCCGATGCGGACCAGAGAAGGTTGCATGGAGGGCCCATTGGGGACACTCATGGGCACCCCTGTTAAACACAAATAAGAAAAGGGACACCCGAAGCCCTTGCAGGCTTCAGCAGGAACGCATACTGTATGTGAAGGGCACTGGAACGCAAGTGTGCATACTGGGACACGGCCATCGTTGCATAACGTCTGTTTTTGCCACGAAATATGAATCTGCTGGCTCTCCGACAGAACAGTACAGCAAAGTAGACTCAAACACTGAACTCTACACTTTTGACATCAGTGCTGCTCAGTCCTTTTAAAAGAGAGTGGCACTCTCTGCTGTCCTGGGTGAGCGTGGCAACTTTCATGTGATGGCAGTAGGTGGAGAGGTGTACTGTGCTGTTTTCAGTATGGATGTTGGAAAGATTGTGTGTCTGGTAGGGAAGCACAGGACACTATAGCAAAGCCCCAACATAAATCTGCTGACAGCCCTCAAAAGCACTTTGCTTCTTTCCGTAACCTAGTTCAGCCCGTGAGATGTTATGATGTGTGATGTTCATGGCGCTGTGACTGCTGTTTGGTCTCATGTTTGTGGGAAAAAATTCACTTCTCCTTCAGACGTTTTGCTGATCTGTCTGATCTGGGGTCTTTGAGAGTCAGTGATTATGGCCAACTGTGTTGTGCAGTGTATACTGTATACACATAGTGACAGTGTCAAGAGAGGGACAGTGTGTGCTGTGAACAGGACCTTTCCCCAACACTGCCTCTGTAGTTCTGGACAGCTTCACACAATTAGATACCAGCAACCCAAAGGGGCAGATTCATTTACTTTTAATTTAATTCCCTTGAATGCGTTTCAGTTGTGGTGGAGGACAAGTTAAGCGTGGAAATGAGTCGTCTTGGCATGGCAGCTGAAGCCACTGCAGGAGCTCCAGGCTTGTGTGAACGTCGGCGTCAGGTG